CCTTTTTTCGTTCGTTCGGTCGTTTGGTGCTTTTGTTTGGTCGTCGCTAATCGATTGTCTTTTCCGTGCAAATTTAAGCTGATGTGTACACGCAACAGGAGAGTCGAGAACGCTCGAGATGAATATAAAGAGGAGGGCGGGGGGTAGGTACAATTCTTCTACATCAGACCGTTATAATCCCAGGCATATCCACTTACAGGCGTATACGTATATACGCGCGCGACATCATGGCCGCGCGCACTCGCCCGTTTAGCTACGTCATAAATTCTTGCTCTCCGTCTAAAAATTCTCGCGAAACGCAGCTTTCTTGGCGCTGATAAATCTTTCGGCGAATCCAACGTGACATTGGCAACAAATGATGTACGAGTTGCGGTGTGCAAGTATACGCGGCGGAACGGCCAATTAGCGCGCGAGGCAGAAAACTCCATTGTCGTTTTCGCGAAAGGCGAGACGCGGCATCGCGCGCCTCGTGCAACGCATACGCACGCACACACTGGGTTCAATGGTCTTTTCATTGTCGCCCGAAATTCGAGCATCGCTCCGCTCGCCTGGTTAGATCATGCACACAAAGTAAATTTCCGGATAATTTTTCTTTCTCCTTGTCATTTTTCCTTTTCATTGCGCCTTCGGTAAATATATATGTATATGTATTCGGCTGCGCATTGAGCGTGAAAATTGCATATCTTTTCCGTGAAATAAAAAAGAACAGGACTGGCCGTGTAAAAAAGCGGTATCTCAAACAAAGTATAAATTGCCTTAATTGCAGGCGCGCGAGTCAAAGTGCATCGACCTCCCTTAGCTACGCTGAGATTTTTCGCACAGAAGCTCGTCTTTTTGTCGTTGGCGAGGTACATGACCGTAATCGCAATTGTCTGCCCTGAAAATCGTGGCAGGCCATCCGAAATGTTGAGCATCGCTGTCGTGTAACTTATATCGACAGACGCGACTCTTCTCTCTCTCTCTCTCTCTTTCTCGCTCGCTGGATTTGATATTCCTTGTTGGTTATTGTAGTAGCTTCGAGCGCTTTCTACGAAGCACATGTCGCTTCCTTCTGGCCGCTGCTTTTTGCCCCGTGCGATCCACGAATTTGTATTTGTACTATTAAACTGAACGACCGTAAGGTAACCGCTCGCCGCTCAAGATGATTCTTGGAAATGATTAGCGGACTGCAGCGATTAACGCGTTTTTTGATTTTTACGAGCGCCCGCGTCCGTTATGATTCGGTCGCTCGGCGCACGTCAGTCGGTTAAACTGTCGTCGCGCGCTTTCTTTTTTTTCTTCCACGGATCGTTCGACCAGAGATCAAGACGTTACGCTCCAACAATATCGTCTCTCGAAAGCTTATCGCGCTCTGCCGAAGCCGCGCAATTCTCGACTTAAAGCAAAAGCAGCCGCGTATAGATCAAAGCAACGCACGCGCGTCATACGCGCCTGGAACTCTCAAAATTGCTTCACACCGTTTTTGCGCTCGCGCGGTTCCTCTCTCTCTCTCTCTCTCTCTCATGCTGTACCTCCCTTCGGCAAAACCTCCGCGAAATTCCTTCTTCGAAAAGAGGTGGAGGGAGTCGCCAATTATTGCGGCTTGTCATATCGCCTTTTTTCGCAAAGCTCCCACGATCCGGGAGGGCCTTTATACATATATATATATATATATATATGTATATATATATATATATATATATATATATATATATATATATATATATATATATATATACTGCACGTGCACAAGCGCGTATTGTTTTCTATATCGATTGCGCCATACATCCGACTCCTCTCCGTGACCTCATTAACGTTCGAACAAGTTGTAATCCTTTTTGCGAGCACTACAAATTCTCTTCTTCGCCGCCGTGGATGATGCATTTCCAGATTAATTAATGCCCCCGATAGCCGCGAGTTGCTGCTGTTTGCACGAAATAAAAAATATATATGTCGCGACCGCGGAGATGCTATCGCAATTTTTTTTCTTCCTTGCTTAAAACGTTGCAATTTCGCTCGTGTTGCATGCATAAATTAACGAGCTAATTGGCCGATCGAATTTGTTTCGTTTCTGTGTGTGAGCCATCGGTCTGTCCTGATTATTAATAATTCGAGAATTAACTACTTCGGGGCGGAAGGATCGACGGAATGCAATTAATTCTGCTGATGCAGGTGGTCGGCATTGATTTGCAGCTTAAAAAGGTAATTAGAACGAACGTTCGATTTTCTCGATGGAGTTTTTTCTTTTGCCTCGCGAGACCTTTGCGTACGCCTGCCTGTACCACGCGAGAAAACAATATAATTGTGCACAGGTTCAGATTATAAGCAAGAGAAGACAAAAGATGAAAAATAAGAGAAAAAAAGAAAAAGAACGACCAAGACTTTGCACGGGTCTGATTTATGAGGAGCTGCGTATTCGTGGGTCTCGCGTTGCGATTTCAGCGCCGCTTCGCCGTTAAAATAATTTATCGCGATGGACTGTCCGTCGCACGAATGTAGCCAACAAATTATTCGCGCAGCGCCGAGACGCGTGTTCCGTGGAAAAAGTGCCGAGTGAAAGGAAAATTCGGGCGAAATATAAAAAAAGAGTTGGCGAGCCCAAGTTTTAATTTACGAGGGCACGGCTGTTACTTTATATTTATGAATTATGTATATAAACTGTGCGATCGCGTTGATCTCTTTCACTCTCGAAAATAATTTTTTTTTCTTTCTTTTATACTCCGCAGACGCTGTTGATATTATGTCCGCGCGCGCGCGCGTCGAGAAAGTTATTTCCGTAGCGTGGAGCTGCCGCTGCTGCTGTTGGCTTTTAATTGACGGACGCGCATATTTAAAAGTCTGTGCGGCTGTTGGATAATTAATGCGTCTCTCTGTCTCTGAGTATCGAAGCTAATTAATGCCATTCAAAGAGCTTCTGCCATGCCTCGTATGTGTGTGTGTGTGTTTGCCGTACAAAATGGGACGATAGGTAGAGAAAAAGGAACGAGATGACAGGTCTGAGAGAGATAAGAATCGCGTTGATGCTGCACCCACGAATAGTGGTGGCGGTGTTGGTGGCGGTGGTTGTGGCGGCGACCGAAAAGGCGGAGATCGCATGCAGTTTGGCGCAGCTCTGAAATAATTTGGCGAGGAACATATCTGCAGGCCTAATGACGAAGCCGAGCAACGCGACGCGGCTAATGGCCATTGGCTCTACTAGTAGATGATGTACGACAAAGGGCAGGCGAGAGAAGCGATAAAGAGGCAGCAGACGCTGTGTATTAGCAGTCGGCAGCAGCACGAGCGGCGTCTATTAATATGCCGCCCGGTCGAGAGGAGAGCAAGAGAGAGAGAGAGAGAGAGAGAGTGAGAGAGTGGATGCTTGCCGGTGCTTAGTTACTTGTCACGTGTCACTTGGCGCACAACAGCGCCCTGTCAGCACGCGATTATGTGTCTATCGATAGACGATCGACAGAGAGTGCGCGTTGCAGCGTACCGCGCTCGCGGACACATACGGGTAGCAATAATTCATCCAACATCTCAATGCTATCCGTGCACCGTGGCACGAGCGCCGACGCTTTTCTTTTTTCCGCCCCGTGTCGAGATATATATAATTAAACGATCACGAGTACAATTGTGATGTTGCGCTCGCGCGCTTACAAATCGTTTTTGCAATTGCCTGTCGTGCAATTATTCAACGCGCGCGCACGGCCAGCTTTTAATAAGAGCGAGCGCTGCTAGCACACGGGCAAACTTCATTATTATTGTATTTAAATTACGTAAAAGATACAGAGAGAGAGAGAGAGAAAGAGAGAGAGAGAGAGAGAGTCACTGCCCCACACCTAAGCCAACTACGACAGTCAATTAAATCGGACGTCGTGTGCCGCAGGCCTGCTTATCTTACACGCTTCTCCTCTCCTTATAAATCTTTTCCCATAGAATTTCCACCGCGCCAGATAAATGCGAAATTTGAGCGCCGAAAAATCGGTGATCCTCGAAGAGGTTGAAAAAAAAGTCTCGAGATAAACTTCACTTTCTAATTAGCCACGAAACTTTTGCCGTGCCGTTCTCAATTTCATAACGCTGTTTCAATATATATCCTAAGGCGAATTATAAATTATTCGCGATAGAGCTCGCGATTCCTATTTCCTCAATTAATCGTGTTCGTCTATCGTCTCTGCGACAGGCGAACACGTGCTGATGTATAATTTATAATTTATCATCCTATTCGGATATGAAGGTACTTAAAATAACGCCCCAATCGGCCGTCAAACTTTCTAACCATCCGCGGTATTCCTAGCGCGGATTTTTAAAATATCTTCCGACAGGTAATCCAATAAAATAAAGCGTTGTTATACACTCGCGAATTGATCGTCCTCGCGTAATTTCCACGCACGCGGCCGCTTGGCATTTCGGAAAACAACACTCAAAAGCAAAAAAGGAACTGTCTGCACTATTTTTCAATGCTAATTTGTCGTCGATATACGGTATACGAGCGCCGCGCGGTTAGCAAGAGACTTTTACGCAATATCCACAACCTGTCGCTCGAAGCCCATAAATATTGTCAAGCGCGAGACAATACCGAGATAGAGAGAGAGAGAGAGAGAGAGAGAGAGAGAGAGAGAGAGAAAGAGAACGTTCCGAATTCCCTACACCTCGAGGAAGAGAGCTTTCCCCCTCGACTTTTGAGGATACTTCGCACGTGCGCCCACCTTTTTTCTCTCTCTCTCTCTCTCTCGTTCCCTCAGCGCTTTCACGGGCTGCGCCGTGTAGCACTGTATGCCGAGTGATTCCTACCTACATAAAGAGAGAGAGAGAGACTGACCGCAGAACTATAGGATTTCGGTAATTTCACAAAGGAGCGATCAGCAATCTTTTTTTCACCGACAGCAAGGATTATCGAGCTCCTTTTTCTCCTCAGATCCGCTTTCACGTAACAAGTTCACGAAATAATCGGCGCGCTCCGTCTCTCTCGTGGCCGATGGCCTAACAGCGCGCGAGCGGTAATGCCGGTATGTTTCGCGTGAAAATCGGAGACTTACTAGGATCGAGAGTGAGGCTGCCGAGTCTTGGATTGATCCTGAGCGCTGCCTGGCCAAGCTCGTCCTCGAGAGTAGCACGGCTGGGCCTTGCCTGCTTACGCCTCGACATGCTGCTGGCGCGGAAGGAAGATGCAACGGGCAGTCCGTCGCAGCTCTCTCTCTCTCTCTCTCGCACTCCTGGCTGACGGCGGCTTCTTCTCGAAACAACTGATCGTCGCACCGTTGCAAGCAACAACTCCGGCAATCCTCAGTCGCAGCAGCACACTTTCCAGTCACTTAAACTTAATGCTGCTCCTCTGCGGTACTCGCTCTCAAGCCCCATCGCGGCAGCTCATCACCGAGTCATGTTTGCTTCTTACTATACAATAAATATTTGCACACACACGCGAGCAGATTACATCGAGCTCTCTCGATCGGCTACCAGACCGGCAACCAGCTTCTTGTCGATGTACTTTCTTATACAAATGTTACGTATGAAATGCGCCGATAAATAGCTATACACATATACGCCTTGCGGTATGCATGTATGTAGGCGTATGTACGTGAAAGTGAGGCATCGACAGATGAGCATGCATCCGCGTCCGCCGGACGACTATAGCGCGCGCGACCGAGCGGTGGCTGCCAGCGGCAGCAGCAGCAGCGGCACCAACGGAGCGCCAGCAGCCTGCCCAAGCTCCCTCTCCTGCGTGTATCGCGAAATAATCCGCGACTGACGTCGCGGCGCCCCCCACCCTCGCGCCCCGTGGCCCTCTCTCCGCCGACAGCCAGACGCGAGCGACCACGGCCGCGCGCCGCGGCAGAGGGGAGCGGCAACTGCCTGCCCTCCCCCGCCCCTCGATGCGCTCCGCGCCCGTGCGACTCGCGCTCGTGCGCCCAGGCCAGCAACCCCTCGCCGCCGCGACCAGCACGCCACGAGCTCCCCTCGCTCCTCGCACTCGCCTGCGAGCGGCTACGCTGCGCGTGCACGCCACATTGCCCGCTCGTGCGCTGGAGCGCGCCCGTCGTCCAGCCTCGAGGTCCATCCCTTGCTGCCGCGGGCCTCCAGCCTAGGGCTTCTTTTCGCCGTCTGCCGAGACCGGCCGATCGCGGCCCCCGAGCACCGTCTCCAAGAGGCATGACTCGCCGACTCGGGCAGCAGCAACGGCTCCTCGTAGGCCAAAGTTCGATAGGTCGGGGGGGCAGCTTCGGACCGAGTGCTCGTCGCGAGATAGGAAAGAGAGAGAGAGAGAGAGAGAGAGAAGCGCGAGCGAGCGTGTGGCTTCGGCTATGCACACATCCATCTCCTTCTCCTCGGCACTGAACTCGCGGCGCTCGCTCTTCCCCACTACCTCTAGCCGTGTAGTCGCTCGTCCCACCACTTTTGGCGATTCTCCGTCGTAGGCGTGAACACTCGGAGACTCCGCCCTCTTATGCATTATTATTGCTTGCGCAGCTGCGCGCCGCCGCGAGTAGCGCGAGAGAGCTATGATTTTATATGCCCCCTCCGAGCCGAGCGCAGTTATCTCACCCTCGCGCGAAATTATGCGGGGGAGGCTCTCCTTCTTCATCGATCGCAGTTCTACTACTAGCTTGGATTCTAGACGAAGCCGATGCACTCTCTCTCTCTCTCTCTCTCTCTCTCTCTCTCTCGCGCGCGCAGCTATGCTACTTCTGCTGCTTGTGCATTTTACGATGATCTACTGTTAGACTATTTCTTCTGCTTCTTTTTACTCCTCGCTTCGAGAAATAGAGATTATGATGCGCTTTTAGAAGTGGAGCGATACGACCTGCTATTTTATTCCAGCATCCGAGATAAAGATTATTTCGGAGAGCAAATGTTTATTATGATTTGCGCACGAGAAAGTACGTTTTGCCAGCACTCATCGGGCTTTAGGTATTGTGGCGTAATGGCTCTAGAAATTAATTGCCAAATGCAAAATGGTAGGAAACGGTGTTACGCAGTCTAGATACGGCGACAGCAACGGTCGACGCATAAAATCGCATCCCCGTAAGACAATGTTAAATCATGAAATCGAATTTGTTCGCGAGAGTGTCAACGTGCACGACCGATGCATTATAATCGCAGGCGTACGCGTATAGACACTGGGGAGGCCCGCGGAGTTGAAGATTGCCAAGAGCGCATAGTACGTATACACTGTACGTTCTCGCAGCGTGTGCTTTCACTTAACATATTTGACCTTATTACCGAGCATAAATCAAATGCATCGCCGGTGCAAGCATTAGATTTACGATATCGCCTCTTATGCAGCGTATGTATACGTATAGCAAGACTCGCGGCTCTCTGCGCGATTAAATTTATAACAGCGAGACCCTTAATGCGCATGTAGACGAGAGCCCAAGTATTTTGAGAGTGCGTGCCTGTGCGCTCGGTTAATTCTCTTTCGCTGACACTCCTTATTATAGATTTATCGTCGCTAATTAGGAATATCGACGCACATGCGCGATTGCCGATCGAGTCCAACTTAACCACGCGCACTTTTGCATTTTTGCATTGCGGCATTTCGCTGACCGATTCCTCGTAACTCGATTATAAGCTGGGGCCGTATTTATACGTGATCTTGGTCGGCGCGGCTCTCCATCGCAAACAGGCAAGCATGGATTTATTCACCGGTTGCAATTGGACGGGGCAGAGCGCGCAATATTTTGCCAAAGCTCGCTTCGCGGCTCGCCAAGTCTTCGACCTCCAAAACAATAAGCGTTCAATTAATTAAGCTCGCATCGACGAGGAGGAGCAACAGGAAAGAAAGCGCAGCAAGCTGGATAAGATTGCGAGTATGGGGCTTGCGGCGGCTACATCGACGCTCCTTGCTGCGGACGAGTCGATATAGCGCGCGCGCGTGTGCGTGTGTGTGTGTCTATACATATATATACACACACGCGCGTGCCCAGACGCGCAGGAGTATGTAGAGAAAGATACTCGGGGGCAAATCAATCAGCGCACGGGCACAATAATGGCTATTGTCTGCACGGCGGCGGCGCGCGAGCGAGCGAGGAAGAAGAGCTTTGAGCAAAGGCCGCAGGAAGCGCCAAAGTGGTATTAAGGGGGTTAAGAGAAAGACATCGCGGCGGTGTGCGGTTCTTTTAGCGGCGCGGACGCCAGCTATATTTGATCTGCCTCTTCGGAGCGCGGCGGCGAAAGGCGCGGCTTTCCCGCGCTCGTTAACTCTCTCTCTCTCTCTCTCTCTCTCTCTCTCTCTCTCTCTCTCTCTCTCTCTCTGGCTTAATCAGCCTAGCTATACGTACGGCTCGGTCGTACGCGTACGCGCGTGAGCGAGACGTCCGCGAGCTCGTGCTCTTCCTCCCGCTCTTGTTTTGTCCCAGTGTAAAGGTTGAGAATACGCAGCGCGCGCGGGCCTACCGTGCCGAGCGACGGCTGCTCGAGGTGCCGCAGCGAGAGAACTGCAATTATTACTGGCCGCTCCGCCCGCGAGTTATGCTTACTTTTCTGATCGTTTGAGTCCGACTGGTGCGCCTTCACCTCTGCGCGTCGCTTAAAAACGGTAGCTCCAGCACGCAGTCCATGGCGAGCTTTTCGATAAGTGCATTTGTTGATTTGCGATTTTCGAACAACCACCGTGCCAAGGTTACAAAATAAATAACTAACATCGAGGCACAGATCGGTCCTGTGCCATTCATTGGCCAAAGTTCTCGATAATCTGAGACGCAGTCTTTCCGGTACAGTTGACCACGTATTTCAACTAAATGGCTCAGCGAATTCATGGAAAAGCAAAACGAGGTCAAGTCACGCAGCGGTCGCCAAAAATTGATTGATGCGAAAAAGACAAGCCTTTGTATAGGACAACGGGCACCAGTAGAACGAGCCACACGACAAGAAAACAACTGTTTTCAGAATAGAAATATCCAGGCCACCCATCGATGCTGGAAATCACGCGAGTTTTCTTCAACAGCTCGAGAAACGGTGACGCGGCGGGAGAATTAGCCTCGAAGGCGCGTACAGAGAGCGAGAGAGAGAGAGAGAGAGAGAGAGGGAGACTTAAATGGTCCCAGCGCCCGAAAACGAGCGTGGCGCGCGCGTATACGCGAAAACCAGTTCAAGGCTGTTGCAACTCTGCTGCTGGCCGGCTCCGAAGGGAGGGAGAGCGAGCGCGAGCGCGTCACAGAGCCTTTGTGAATGAGTTAAATGGATTTTGTACGAGACTCGCCGAGTTCATTCATTAGTCGCGCGCCCGTGCGAGCCAGAGCGTCGAGTTCATTAGACACTTTCTTTCCACGGGTGTCCGATGAAGATACACTCTCGCTGCTCTCTTCTTTTTATACACGCCCCAACAATGGCTTTTGTCACTGCTGATTCGGTTATCGCTTTCCCGCGAATATGTACATTAATTAATAGCGCTGTCGATCGCAATCGTAATGCGGCGCTTCATCTCACCTTAGCAATGCGTGTGGGAACGGAAAAATTCCTCGGCGGGGCACTAAAAGCCTCGAGGCTCATAAACCATCACGGTGTGAATCATTTCAATCGTTCGGCATAGAGGCAGAGAACTGCGTCTGCTCTCTTATCGCTATGAGATCGCCGCTGCGGGCCCCCGGAAAAGACAGTAAATCGGTGAAAAAAGAAGAAAAGGTGATCTTTAGAGCGAGTTTATTGTTTTTTTTTTTCGACGGTTAAAAAGCAGTCTCGTAATTTTTCGCTGCGCGCAGGTATGTCAAAGTATCTATCTGGAAAGGAAAACAGGCGCCGGCGTCGTATAGGTATCGGCAGGCCGCGGCAACTTCGAGCGAGGCACCTGTCGCGTCACGCTTTTTCTCGCACCGAGTCGAAGGAGGGGAGCAAGGATTAATTGGGGCAATTAGCGCTCGCATAGCCAGTTCGGCGATCTTCGCGTGTGGTCATGTGTTCTGTTTGCGAATTGCACGTTGTTTTTATAGCGATCTTCCGCATACGTGCTCATATTACAACATTCATATTCAAATGCTCATGAAATGATGAGAAGATTTTTGTTTGGCAAATAAAATTCATTCAAACTGTAAATATTATTCGTTGATCAATCATGCTACGACAACGTATGCTTCACTTGATGCTGGTACAACAAATTCACTTTATTATATATTTTCATCGATTTTTAATACAATTATTTTTCCTAATACCGTAGACAGTTGCTGTGCGTTCACAGTGCGTAACGTTCAATCGTATTAATGTTAATAAGAAAAAAGATTCCTGGTAGAAACATTTACGTATAATACGCGAATATTCTGATCATAACTTCTAGAAACTTAGCTACTAAGTACTATCGTTCATATTTAGTGGAATTGTTACTTTTCACCTCTGTTTAAAGATTTATAATTAATGCTCCGAGCAAACTAGAATAAATTATCTTTAGAAAATTTATGATTGAGCTTGAGCTCACTTTATATCTTAAAGGATTATTTATCCTTAAAGGGTTATTAAGGATTATTTATATACAAAAGAAATTCACTAACGTTTGCTTAGTGCACTCTCGGATAGATACAAACATTGTATATAGATTAGGTCATCAACCTCATTTCTAAATACACATTTAATAAAACTATGAAGTAATAATTCAAAACAACGAGAAAAATATCGTATGAAAT